GCATTTAATGCCCTGAGCAGAATAAGGCAGCGAGAAAGAACAGGATAGTAAGGGGGCAGATTTGAGCTGAGAAGGAATGCATGCTCTGTAGGACAGGAAGCCCGTTAGGTCTTCACTGGCGGGTCAGGGCTGTACTCTGCAGTCCGGAGGGTCTCTCTGAGCCGGCCTGGCAGGGCGGACCCGAAGCGCCCTCCAGGGAAACAGGCTCAGAAAGACTTCTCTGCATGTGGAACTGAACATTCTTAAAGGGAGCTCGGGGAGACCCTGTCTGGAGTGAGGAGGTGGGGAATAAGGGAAGAGGGCCCTTCTCCGCCCCTCCCCCATGTCTAGGCTACAGGCCTTCTTGGGGCTCTGAAGGCTGGTAATTCCCACCAGTTAATTCCAGCTCAGGCTGACAGATCACCCTCCTCCCCTTCCTTCCCAGGTCAGACGAGGCCGAGTGAAGAGGCTTTTCCCCGTCAATATGGCAAGATGTCAGTGGGGGTGAGCAGCGTGCGTCCAGGTTGTACCCTGCCTTTTTGTGTGGTCTTGGACATTAGGCCCCTCTGTTTAAATGATGCCCCAAAAGACACTGACCCCAAACTCTTGATGATGGTAATCCACCCTGTGCAGAAGCTATAGTTTTTTTTCACAAACAACACTGATATGTGCTGAATTCGGCATTCAACCTTGGTGCTTGGCCAAAATCTGCAGTGCTGTTTGAGCTGTGGCCATCAAAGGGCTAAATAACCATAGGCCCACTTCAGCATTACTTCCGGGCCCCCTGCATGTATGCCCAGTCAATGGCTGTGTCACCATCCAGGTCACTGGCTTTTTAAGAAAAGACAATACTATCACTTAAAAAAACAAAAAAAAAACAGTTCATAGCAGCACTATTTACAATAGCCAAGACATGGAAACAGCCTAATGTCCATCAAGAGATGACTGGATAAAGAAGATGTGGTATATGTCTACAATGGAATACTATTCAGCCATAAAAATGATAACATAACGCCATTTGCAGCAACACGGATGTTCCTGGAGAATGTCATTCTAAGTGAAGCCAGCCAGAAAGAGAAAGAAAGATACCATATGAGATCACTCATATGTGGAATCTAAAAAAAAAAAAAAAGAAAAATAACAAAACAGAAACAGATTCATAGATATAGAATACAAACTTGTGGTTGCCAAGGGGGAGGGATAGACTGGGGGTTCAAATACTGACAGGCATGTGTAGAGTAGATAAACAAGATTATGCTCTGTAGCACAGGGAAATATATACAAGATCTTGTGGTAGCTCACAGCAAAAAAAAAATGTGACAATGAATATACTTATGTTCATGTATAACTGAAAAATTGTGCTCTACACTGGAATTTGACACAACATTGTAAAATGACTATAACTCAATAAAAAATGTTAAAAAAGTTATTTAAAAAATTTAAGAATGAAAAAAAAAGCAACCATAAGCCATGTCATTTGAATTTACTGTTAACATCCAAATGACATTCAAATATAGGAAAACACTACACAAGGACCTCAGAGTGAAAATCTCCTTATGTGCTTTACATGTCGAAATTCTACAATTACAGTATAAATATGCATTTATTATTTCAAGTGTAAAGTGCTACAAAAATTAATGGTGATTGTGAAAGCTGTTAATTTTAAGCACAAAAGTAATTATTTAGAACTTTCAAATTGCTGAACAAATGGGAGAACGGGAAAGGTAATGAGGGGTTAATACCAGTGTGTTACCTAGACAACTTCAGGAAGGGCACTGTACCCTTTCCAAGTACAGATGTTTATTACAATGTAAACAACCATCCAAGGCAAAGTAAGAGAGATTAGATAATATCATATTTCTAATCTTTGCTGTTCTTTTTTAAATCCGGCATCTATAACGTTAAACAAAATAATCTTGAAAAAT